GGTCTCCGGGTCCCGCCTGGCCTTGGCGCCCATGAAGGGGGTGGGTGAGGAGGGGACAGGGCTCCAAGCCCCGCCCAGCCTGTGCCCGCTGCCCCTGCGGCCGCTCCTGGGCACCGGGGTGGTGGCCGGGGTGCGGGGAGGCCACCCCGGGCCTCCCCCGGCCCCAAGTCATCTGAGTTCAGCCTCTCCAGCAGGACAGCTGAGAATGTGCACTATTTATACCAGCCAAGGCGGGCGGGCAGCCGCAGAGACACACAGCCCGGGCGCCATATGTGGGCATGACGGACGGCAGGCAGGCCTGCCAGGGGGACAAGGACCCAAAACAGGGCGTCTGTCCTGGGTGTCCTTCAACCTCCAACCATCCCCACCGAGTCCGTCCTCCCCCGTCCCCCGTGACAGGTTCCCGGACAGCTGCCTTCCCCCCTGCTGTTAAAAATACTCTAGTCCCAGAACCTCCTGTCCTGCGCTGTCCTCTATGCCCCGAGCTGGACGTGTGATCCCAGGGGAGCGACCCCAGACTCTCCACCAGCAGACCCTTCGGGGGTCCGCTCCCCTGGATGGGGAAAAGCCAATGACCTTGCCAGCCAGCACTGGGGCAGTGGGGCCTTCTTTCCTGGGCTGGACCCCGGGGGCCGGGGAGGGGCCTCTGTGCCAGGTGGCCCTGGCTCGTCACATATGCCCCATCGGACCCCCCGCCCCAGCACAGGAAGCAGACCTGGGCCTCTGAAAACCGAGGTGGATGGCATGCGCCAGGGAGCAGGCACCCACGCCCTGCCCTTGTGCAGGACCCATCACCCCAGGTTTCTGCATTTAAGGAGCAGCCGCTAGGCTGTCACAGATGGCCCTCCCGGCCCTGCCCTTGAGATGCACAGCCTGCCCCACTCAGCCACCACCTCGGCTGCGGCAGCCCCCCGCCACAGGGCGGGCAGGCCTTCCTGGGTCAGAGCCAGCAGTGCAGGCCGTCCCCACGCGGGACCCAGGAGTGCAGCCCAGGAGTGGCCCCAAGCTCCGGCCAGCCAGGTGCTGGGCCTTGCAGGGCCTGTTGAGAGAGTCCCGCAGCCGGATGCAGGCAGGAGCAGACCGTGGGAGCTCCTGGGGGCCACTCACACTGTGCCTGGGACCCCTTCTCTTCCCGAGAGTCACACCACCCTCTTCCCATCCCAGGCGGGCTGCTGGTGGGCCAAGGGCAGCGGGTGAGGCCAGAGTGCCCCAGAAAGCCCCGCGCTCTCGTCCGCGAGCCCCCTGTCCCAGCAGCACTGACCCCAGGCCTGGACACCCTAAAGAGCAGTGGGCGTCAAAGGCAGGGAGTGAAGCCGTGAGCGGAGGCCCTCTGCAATGGGACGTGCGGCCAGCCAGCGAGGCTGAGTCAGCACAAGCTGCTCTGACGGACGCCCAGCCGTTACCCTTTATGCTAAGGTGGCACAATTAATGCAATCGCGCTGGCCCCGCCCCCTCTGGCCCCGCCCCTCCCGCTGGCCCCGCCCCCAACCCGTCCACCTTCTGTCCTGCAAACCCCTCCAGGCTCCATCTTTCTGGGCTATGCCTGGCCCTAAGGATTGCTCAGGTCCTCCCCGTGCTCATTTAGGCCGGGGCAGGGGGGGATGGGGATGGGGATCTGCAAGTCAAGCACTGTTCAGTTTGATTGACAGGCTGCGGCAGCTAAAACATCATCCTGCTGGTCAGCCTGATCATGCAGTTGCTCCTCGGTCCAGCCTTTCCCACATGAGCTAGGGTTTTCCGAGACATTCCTAATGCCCCCCACAGATGCTTTCAGCAGGGCCGCCCCCCCCCTTTGAAAACCTTGTGCAGGAAAATGCTTTCTTGCCTGTGGTGAGTGCACCATCCAACCAGAGAAACAAGCACACCCTCTTTGGAAGCAGATGCCACCTGGCTGCAGACACTGAAGAGAGTTTGTGGCCGACGCAGACACACGCACCTGGCACGACGGGGCCGCCCCCGCCCTCCCGACCCCCTGGCGCGCAGTGTGCCTGGATTTTGTGAGCCGTCGCCTGCAGGAGTCGAGCCACTTTGACGCGCTGAAATTATGAGCGCCACGGTCCTCGGAGCTACCATTTCCACCTGCGGAACCTGGGCCTGCCGTCGGACTGCAAAGGTTTTCCAAGTGCTCCGGGAAACCCGGGGGCGTCCCTGCTCCAAGAGCTCAGAGAAAGGGGCACCGGCCTCCCCTCCCAGCCTCAAAGTCTCCCCACAGCCTCACAAAACCACCTGGGTCCCCAAGTTGGCGAGCAAGCCCTACGAGGGTGGGGCTTTGACCCCCCCAGGCACACCCCAGACCCCGCTTCCTCTGAAAGAGTCCCGGAGCCCCCATGGCAGGCTCTCTGGGTGGCAGGCCCTCCAGGGAAGGCCCTCTGGGAGAGCACACACACGGTCCTGCCGGTCTCTCCTTTCCCCACAGAAAGACCCAACGACCCAACGCAGAAGCCACGCCTGCTCTGGGTTCCCTCTCCGGCTCCCCCCGGAGCCAAGAGCAGTAGCTTCATGGACAGAAAATTCCAGCCGCCCCCGGGGCTCCCACGGGGAGGCGTCCAAGTGCTGCCCGTTCTTATTTTGGCCAATCAAGAGACGGGTGGCAATTTACAGCTCTCTCCCTGCGAACTCCCTAGCTTTACTGCTCAGTCAAACCTAATTCCCAAACACTAATGCTTTTATTTAAACACCACATCCTGCAGTAAAGCCATAATGCACATTGGGATGCATCTGGGGGAAGAGCCGCATGTCTGCGGCCAGCCCTGGTGGCCATGCGCTCTGCTACTTCCCCCGCTGTGGCCGGAGCTGGAAGCATCGGGCAAAGATGACCTTCCTGGGGACGCTGGACACGTTCCCCTCTGGGCCCGGTGGCCGGAAGGAAGGCAGTGCCCAAGGACAATCCTACCTCCCAGCTATGGGTGCCGATTCAGCGGCCCTCAACTACAGTCAACCCCCTGGGAGCTGGGAGCCACGGGCGAGCTTGGAACTGCCTGTGTCTGCCTATCCCCAGGCTCCTGGGCGGGACCTCAGTGGCTCAGGGATCCCGTCTGCCCCCAGACCCAGTGCTTCCAGCAGCTGGAGGAGGCGGCCTGCTTGCCTGCCCATCCCTGTCCCACCCCCGACACGAGAGCCGCCTTCCTGCCAAAGGTCAGGGTGTGGGAGGGGCTGGGGCACCTGCCATGGCCCAGGCCAGCAATGCCAAGGACGCCCAGAAAAGCAGAGATGACACATGCATTGGAAAAATAGCCCTGAGCCTGAGGCGGACGTGCCCTGGGCAGACACGCTGGCCTCACCCCACACCGAGGGCCAGAAACCGGCCCAGGTGCCCTCCCACAGCAGCCCAGCCCTTCCGCCCTCTGCCTCACTGGAGAAGGACCAGCACAGTGGAGACCAGATAGAGCATCTGTCTTCATCTCCTGGCCATCACGGTCCCGCCGTGGGGCCCACGGGACCCCAGCCCTGCCTCTGCTCCCAGCCAGGACCTGGACGGGGGCAGAGCAGGCAGCAGGGCTCCGGGCTCCTACCCGCGGCTGTCGCACTAAGCAGGCCAGGGAGACCTCGCCAGCCTTCACAGCAAACACGGCAAAGAGCAACGTGGGGCTCGGGCTGGTGTGGGGGTGGGGGGCAGGACCAGGTGGGGAGGCGGACTCAGGGCCGGCCACACTCAGCCCCCATGGTCTCTGTCAGGGTGCCCTCGGGGTCCGGGGCTCGGGTGTCTCAGAGGCAGGAGTGGGGGCCTGGGGCTGCAGGTGTCTCTGACCCCACTGCTGCCCTGGGCCTGACCCTAAGAGGCTGAACCGCATGGCACCCTCACCTCTGCCTCACAGTGCAGCCCCTGGGAGCCAGGGAGGTGTGTTTCCCCCAAGGGGCATCCCTACGTAGCTGCAGGAGCCCCTTCCCTCTTTCCTTTCCTTTCCTGGCCTGGCTCCCTGACCCTTTGGGGACACGCAGGTTTCCTTGTGCCTGGGAGCAGCTTTCTGCCCCTGCTGCACAAACAGCCCTTTCTACTGGCGAATGACCCCTTTGAGGGTGTCTGGAAGTGAGGCCCCCGAGCCACGGGCACCCTACGTTCCCAAGCCCAGGCCCCCCGCCCCGGCCCCCCCAGCCCCTGCACTGGACCCCACGCCTGCCACGGGGCCACCTTCCCTCTGCCGCAGTCAGCACGTTGAATATTTAATGTCTGACGAACGCCTCCACCTGCTGACACAGGCAAAGTGACAGAACAATGCCGGTAGGGGACAGGGCCGTCCACTGATGCCCCGGCAGCCTGCCACAGAGGCCCTCGCCCCAGCCACAGCCGCCTGCCCGGCTGGCTGACTGTCTGTCTGTCTGCTGGGCGACCCTGCGGGTGAGAGTTCCCCACCTGAAATACATACTTCTTTACATTCCATAGCTCCGCAGGTCCATATGGGCATATAAAGAAGTATGTTCCCCAAGCGGGTAGTTCGGTCTGGATGGCTACGCAGGCTTGGGGAAGGGGACCCACCAAGGCCGTGGGGCTTCTGCCTGGATGCACACCCTGGAGCCCTCTGTGTGCGTGGGGCCGGCACACCATGCCCTCCAGCTCTGCCCAGCGAGCCTGGCCTCTGTGCCCACTCCATCCCGCTCTCTGTGCTCCCAAGCGCACGCACACACCGTTAGGAAGGGCAGAAGCAGACAGCCCGCTCCACCGTCTCAAGAATCCCTTCACTCGCCCCACAGTTATCTGGTTTTGCGTCAGTGGAACAAGAAAAGCAAGGACCCAGGCTGCCACCTCCCACCCTCACCCCGGAGAAAGATGTGCCGTTTCCTCTCAGAGACGTGCCGAGCCTCAGCCAGCACCCTCCCTCTCCATCTGGGCACCTTGTCCCAGCCAAGTGCACAGGGAGGCCGGAGCGAAGGCACCGCAGCTCAGAAGGAGCCCACCATGAGTGATGGAGGGCAGGGTGGCCAGAGCCCACGGGGAGCCCAGCACCACACGCCATAAGCCCAGATGGGTGCGCCAGGAGACCCAAGCAGCGGACAGGCCTTACCTGGGCAGCTGGCAGCTTCCTGGGCAGGTCCCTGGTGGTTCTGCCTCCCAGGAACCAGAGCCCTCGCGGGCAGGGCTCAGTCATGCCTCTGTCTTTGAAGACACGCGTGACAGGTGGACGCTGCATCTCCAGAGGGTGGCTGGGAGCGGCTGGGAGGTGGTCCTTGCCTCCACCAGCCCCTTCTGCTCTTGGGCCTGGCTGGGCGGGGGACTAGAGCCGGCTCCTTCTTCCCCTCTACGGCCACCTCCTCCCCCTCCGGCTCTCTCCCTCCCTGCTTCGCCCTCTCCCTCCCCTCTGCACTCCTGACATGTTGCCACCTCTGCCGTGGCCACCTGAAGAGATGCTCGCACCAGCGGGCGGCTCCACCAAGCACTGCCACCCGGCCAGCGGCCAGCGACGCGGCCCAGGCACACCTGGCTCCCTGTGGCCCACGCCCGGCCTCCACCCGGCCTCCACCCAGACTGATCAATACCAATTTACAGGCAAACGCAGGGGCCGCCTTCCTGTTGATGAATTTCCCGGTGCTCACCGGCTTCTAATGAACCCGTTAAAGAGGGTTAAGTAAACTTAGCAAGTGGCAAGCTAAGCGCTTTGGAACACTTAATTATAGCGATACTGTTTTTCACTGCATTTCAGAATTTGCCTGTGATGGAGAAGAAGCCCCTCTTCCCCACCAACTTCTCCGGCCACCCCGAATCCGGGAGTCGGAACCACGGAGAGTCTGACAGGGAGCAGTGTGGCCTCCGGGACAGGTGCCCGCCATCGGAGGGCCGACCACCCCCAGCCTGGGCCCAGGGGCATCAGGAGCGCACGGGCAGAGGTCTCGCCATGGCCAGGGTGAGGCCCGCGGCTGAGCGGTGGGATGCTGAAGAAGGGCCTCATGCGTTGCTGGGTGCCTGCAGAGGGAGACAGCAGGGGACACGCTTGCTGGGGTCAGCAGCCGGGCTGGGCACAGACACAGAGAACCCGGGCCCAGGGTCCTGCTATGGCTGCACAAGGCCCTGGGCCTGAGCACACTTCCAGTTCCATCAGAAGACAAGGCCTGGGGCGACCCTGCGCGCCCCTCCCACCGGGCAGCCCACCTGTCCTGCACAGACCGGCCCGGAGGGGTGTCGGATGCTGCCACCCCAGGGCAGGGCCATGTCTCTGCAGAGCCTAGAGCGTGCAATTTCTCAAATCCCTGGGCTGGGGCTACAGCACCCAGCGCGGCCGGGCTAGAGTTTTCTGTGGGGATGTGTGATCTGGGCTCTAAGAAGCACCCCACCAAAAGGAATGAGCCACTCTGCAGAGGGATCCTGAAGAGCGATGTCCCATTTTCGTGTGGCTGCCGTTATTTATCATCTTCAGGTAGCCGGAATGAAAAGGGCAACCAGGATGCCCCCCATGTCCCCCTGCGCCCCTGGAATGTGCCCGCTAGAGACCCTCACGTGAGAACAGGAGTCTGGCACCTAAATCTCCCTGCCCCCTTCTGACAACTGAGGCCTCAGAGGCCCTGCTCAGGCCTGGGACCCTCCCCGCTCCCCCACCCCAGCCTTCACACAGGCCGTGTCTGGAGCTCAGGGGAAGGTCGGGGGCTGCAAAGGGCAGGAGGGGCAGCCCAGGTCCAGCCGGAGCCCTGGGAGCCTCTGCCCCACACAAGCAGGAACGCCGGCTACTTTTCAAACAGTTTTCCGTCCTGGCAGGTCAAGAGCAGCCACCTCCAAGGGACCCCACGGGGGTGGGGGGTGGCAGCAAGCTGGCACTGTGCCCCCACTCGCTGAGCGCTCTCCACTTATGACCCCCCCCGCCCCCGGCTGTGTGGAGGTCATGCTCCCTCCAAGAGACGCCCGGCTGCTCCCCACCCCCCACCCCATCCCCCACCGAGCCCCCCCAGTCCCCGCCCAGCCCCGCGGTGCGCACCGAGCACAGGGACCCTCCCGACCCCGGCGGGGGACCTCGAGAACTACAAAAGTCCAGAGTCCGGACCTGGGACAGACCTGGGGCAGCCACACAGTGCCGGCTTGGGACCCCCTGCCCCAGCATCGCCATGGTTAATGCTGCAAGTTCCAAGGTAAGTTTAACCACACTCCCAGCGCAGCGCTTTGTGCCCTGGGGCAGGTTAACGGCGCCCTCCCCCAGCCCCCACGGCCCCCACCCCAGCCCCAGGACCCCCCCACCCACCCCGGGCATCTGGAGGCAGCCGCTTCCTTGCAAAATGCCCGCATGTCAAAGTTCGTGCATCCCGGTTGGACGCGCCCTCCGGCCTGCTGGCTGCTGGCTCTGCAGTTTTCCAAATGCGGACGGAGCCACGCGCCGCGAGAAAACTCCAAAGCACCCCCGCTGGAACCACGCGGCCCGGCGCCACGGCTCCCACCCACCAGCAGGCACACCCCCGCCGCTGCGGCCGGCAAGTTTGTGGGGCCGTCCGGGCAGGCTGAGCAGGACTCACCGCGGAGCCCCTCCGGCCGGGCTGGAGGCAGCGGCAGCGGCGGCGGCGGGCGCAGGGTCGCGGCTCCCGGTACGATGCGCCCGCGTGGCTCCCAGGGAGATGCTGTAGCCGCACCAGCACCATCCACCTTCTCCCGGAGCCAATCGCGAATGCAGGGGTGGGGGAGGCCAGAGCTCCCGATGCGTCCGCACTTGGGGGTGGGGGGCAGGCGAAGAGAAAGAAGACACCGCGCACCCCCCTCCGCACCTGCCCTTCCCCCAGCCCTCCCGCAGCAGTGCAGACTTAGCAGGAAGGGAGATCTTGAGAGGAGAGAGGGAGGGAGAGGGGGAGGGAGGGAGGGACCAGAGGCGATGCAGAGTTACCGAGGAACCACCTCGAGCCGTGCACCTTGAGCCCCTCCCTGCTCTGGGCTGTGTCTGCAGACGCTCCCGCACCCCGGCCGGGTCAGTGCAAGGTAGAGGTCAGGGCGGAACAAAAGGGGACGGTCCTGCGGGGGTGCGGGCTCACACATGCACACAGCCCATCGCCGAGACACGCGCGGGCGGGGGAGGGGAGGGGAAGGGGGGGGAGGGCTGACCCGAGGGGCCGGAGCGGGCGTGGGGGCCCCCCTCGGGTCAGGAGCCGGCCTCACCTTTGCAGTCCTTATATACCCGGCCAAGCATCCCAAACACGCGGCCCCGGCCAAGTGGCCCCCTCGGGCTGTGCTCCCTGACCATATTTAGTCAAGCAGGGGAAAAAATAGCGTGTCAGCTGGGCCTCGGCTGGCCGGCCACCGGGAACAGGGTGGGAGCGCCAGCGCCATTGACGGCCGGTCCTGGGCCTGAGCGGCTCCCCGCGGCCCCCTCCGGCCCCTCCCCATGGGCCTCCCACCGGCTGTCCCTGCCCTGCCATCCCCCCTGCTATTTTTAGCACAGCCCAGTACAGAGGCGCCTCGGCAGCCCTCCCAGGACACACAGCCTGTTCCTAGGGGTGCCCTGGGGAGACCCAGGCAGCGCCCAGGGCTCGGGCTGGGCGGGGAGGCCTGCCACCTCCTCCCTGCTCTTGGCCTCCAGGGACTGGGCCCCACCCAGGCCACCTAGGACCCCACCCGGTGCCCTTCTGCCCAGAATGGGGGCCCAGACGAGGTGACGACAGAGCCCCCTGGGTTTCCGGAGGCTCCCAAGCCAGCTCTGAGAAATGAGGACCACAGGTCACCTTGGACAGCAAGCCAGGCCACCAGGCTTGCCACAGTCTCCCCCAGGCCTGCAACCAGGGGGCATGCGTGAGCGGGAGACCCTGGTCCTCACACTGGCTACGCTCCGAGCGCCCCCAGCCTGGGGTCACGCTGCAATGATGTCATGGATATGTGCTGGGCACGGCCTGCAGGGGCCTGTCCTCACGGGGCCTGGACGCGGAGGCCGACGTCCCCCACCACTGTGTGAGCCACGTGGGAGCCCCCAGGACGCAGGACGGGGCACCTCAATGGTAGGGGTGCAGGCCCCACACGGGGAGGCAGGGGCACCGCCGGCCTCACTGTCCGTGGAGTCCCAGCCACTAGAGTGTAAGCAGCAAGATGCCCTATTGTTCCAGAAAGCCATTTCATGAACCTCCCCTCCTCCTGTGCCTCGAAGGCCCGGCCCAGCTGCAGGTGTGGGGAAGGGCTGTCTATGCCCCTCAGAGTAGGCTCCCATGTGCCCGATCCCCTCATGAGGATCCAGAGCTGCAGGATCCCGGGATACGGGGTGCCGTGGGGATCCCCACGTAGGGCGCAGGGGAGGGGAGGGATGGGATGACTGGCCAGCGGTGGCCGTGCGGCCTGGGAGCTTGGGCCGCAGTGTGTGGGGCCAGCACTCCTGGGAAGGTCTGAGGGTCTGGGAGGCCAAAGTGGGAGACAGTTGGACCCTGCTCGCAGGCCCACTGGCCCAGCTGAAGGGTCCTGGGTTCACCCCAGGGAGGTGGGGACCCTGTGAGGTTTCAAGCTGGGCGGTCCAGGTGCTTTCCCGAAAGCAGACAGACACTTGGCCCCTGACCGCGAGGGAGGGTCTGCACTGCCCTGTCCACTCTGTGGGCAGGTGGTGGGCAGGGGAGGGCACCCAGAGCTTGGGCAAGGAGGTCAGGTCAAGGCTGGGCCTGCAGGTGGGCGTAGTCAGGCGGTGGGCGTGTGGCCTGTGCCCCCGGAAGGCTCCTGTTGTGATACTCCAAGGTGGTGGTGGGGGGGGGAGAGTGTGGAGCAGACCCTGTCATAAGTCACCTCGGTAATCACCCTCATGATGGCAGCCCGGCACTCACAGACAAGGGTGGGGGCCCAGGGCCGCCTCTTCCCGGGGGAAGGGCTGGTTGGGGGGCCAGTCCTCAGGGGTCCCCGAGGCCTCAAGGACAAAGCCAGAGGACAGAGCACTCTGTTCATTTATCCGCAACACCAGCATTTCCGGGTATTCCAGGAGCTTCTGTGCGGATGTTGTGTTGATCTTTAAAGCATCACTAAGAGGTGGGCCTCCTATACCATCCCCGCTCCGTGAGGAGGAGCAGCTCGGAGGGAGCAGACTCGCCTGAGGCCGCAGGGCGGGGGCAGTGCCGGGCAGTGGCCGCCTGTGTGGCCGCTGCCCAGGCCCCTGCCGTCCTCCAGAGCCCCTTGCCAGGGCAGTCAAGACAGATCCAGTGTCCCCGGCCTTGGATGCTGACGGAACCCCGCCCCAGGGAGACCGCCAAATGTCGTAGAGACTGGGAAGGCGGCCAAGCCCCCACCCGGGCCCTCGTCCCAGGCGTCCTCAGAAAGGTGGCAGGTGATGTGATGCCTCTTCGCGTGCGTGGCCGAATCGGCCCTGAATGCCTGCCTCCCTCGTCCATTCACCAGCAGGGGCGCGGGAGGAGTCCCACACCCGCCGGGGCGCGGAGTCAGGCCAGGCACCAGCTGGGGGAAGGCTCCTGCACGTGCAAATGCGCTGCCCCCCCCAACTGGGCCGCCTGGCCCGTGTGGCAGCTGAGGTCTCGAAACGGGGCTCATGAGACTGCAGACCCGAACCTTGGACTGGATTTGATCATTTCGGTGTCGGTAGCCTCGTCCGAGCCGCTGCTGCCACGTGGGGCGCAGGGAGGAGGGCTGCAGAATCAGGGGAGCTGCGCTCACACCCCTGCGTGGGGAAGAGCTCCAGAAGGAGAAGTCGGGGAAGGGAGGGGTGGGGCCTGGCTGGCGGTGTAGGTCAGAGGTCAGGGGAGGCTTCTGTGGGGCCCAGAGGAGCCCCCAGGCCTGGCAGGGCCAGGGACAGCGAGGCGGCCCCAGCACGACAGCAGGCCAGCCGATGGTGGGGCCCCCGTGGTGGGGTGCCGCCGGCTGGGGGCCGCGGTGCGGGGGCGAGAGGCACTGGGACTCTGGCCCAGCAGCTCTGCCGATGGAGCGGAGGCGGCTGCAGAGAGGGTGGAAGTCAGGGCAGTGGACCCCCAGAGGATAGGGTGCTTCTCCTGGGAGCGAGAAGGGGGTGTTGCAGGGGAGAGGCTGGGGGGCTCCGCCCTAATGGGAGGGCCTAGCAGATGCCCTTGCTGGAGCCGGAGGCCGGTGCGGGGGGGGGGGGGGGGGGGGCGTGAGGAAGGACTTCCCTGCTCAGAGGCTGTTGCAGATCCCAGAGGGGGTCCCCAGGAGACAGCCTGGGGGTGGGGAGCAGGCCTTGCTGAGGGGCCTCTTGCCCCTTGAGCTGAGTGGAGGGCCGAGTGGTCACTGGAGCTCGGCGGTTTCCTGGAAGCTCGAGGACAGTAATGGAGCCAAGAGTGCCCCCGGGAGCAGTACTTCTGACTGAGAGCTTTTCCTGGAGCGCCATCCCTGGGGGGCGCCGGCCAGGCCAGGGCCGGGTGGGGGGCAGCCCTCACGTGCCTCCCACCTCATCTTCCAGCCTGAAGAGAGGGGGGTGCAGCCCCCAGGAAGGCCCCGCCAAGTGACCCCTTGGGGTGGAGGAGGGTGCCACAGGGCTGGGAGAGGCAGCTCTCCAACTCTCAGAGCCTCAGCTTCCCCATCTGTCAAGTGGGGCCGTGGCCCGTGGGCGCTGGTGGAGGCCTCTGCGGGGGGCGGGAGGGTGGGGGCTGATGCTGTGGGGTTACTTCAGGAAAGACCCCCACACAGGACTATTCTATCCCCCACCTTCCCATCTTCACCATGCAGAGGATCTACTGAAGGAATGAATGAGTGAGTCAATCATTCAATCAATCAACCGATCAATCGTTGGATCGACCACAAGACAGCTGGGGCAGTGGATGGGTCTTGTTTGGAGGGGGCAGGGGCAAGGCAGGGTCAGGGCCCTCGGAGGGTCAGGCCACAGTCAGAGGTGGGGGCTGCCCTCACCCCTGCCTCGGTGCCCCTCTCCCCAGCGCTGCGCTGACAGCAAAATCTGGCTCCTGGTCACTTCACTCTTCCACAAATCTTTAAATGAAACAAAATCTAGGTTTTATTTTGAAATTTGGTTGTACTTTCAGACCGTAGCCGACACAGTCTCTGTTCAGACAAGCCCGGCTCACCCGCCGTGACGATGGGCAGGGGACTGCACTGATGTCCCCCCGGGAAGACCCGCAGACAGCCAACGACCCCACGAGACGTCGGCAGGGAAGGGCAGTCCAAGCCCGCGGCGAGAAGCCCTCTCACACCCGCCGGGCCGGCTGTTAAAACCAGAAAATAACAAGTGTTGGCGAAGATGTGGCGAAATCGGAACCTCGGGCGCGAGCCTCGGCCACAGCGGCTGTGGAAAGTGGTCTGCAGGTCCTCCCCCAGCGACACCCACAAACCCAGCACCCCACGCCAGGCAGGAGCGCGAAGAAACCCAACAAGGACTCGCACACTCACGGCGCCCCTGCGCATGGGGGCTGCAGACGGACAAGCCCGCCCACAGACAGGAACCGGACCCCTGACGCGGGCTGCAGCGTGGAAGCAGCAAGAAGACGCGAGAAGCCGGCCCAAGGCGCCCGGCGCGGCGATGCCTTCCCACGAGGCGTCCGGAACACACCGCGCAGGGAGGGCTTCTCAGGTGCGGGAGGGGATGCAGACTGGCCCCTTCACGGAGGCCGGCCTCCTCGGGGGTGGGGAGGGGTTAGAAAGTTCCGGAATGAGAGAGGTGGTCACAGGCCAACGCCGCATGAGCTGAACGCCACTGAGTTGTTCACTTTAAAGGGGCTGGTTTTGGGTCAGGTGACTTTCCCGTCAACAAAAACACAACAAAGATACGTGGGTCCCAGGGTCAGCCGCACCCCATCTCCCCAGTGACCCCACACCCTGGGCAGGGCGAGGGCTGAGTTCCTGCTCCCCTGGGTCCCCGAATGAGGTGGAGAGCATAGCCACTGGCGTGACCCCAACTTCTCCTCTCCCAGCACCCCTCCCGTGAAAGAATAAACGTGTGTTGTTTTAACCACTAAACGTGTGGCCATGTGTTCTCACGGCCGCAGGAAGCCCACCCCCCTGTATCCTTCCGTCCAGGCCTGGACGAGGATGGAGCCAGCGCCGAGGACGAGCAAGCTGGGGGCAATCGTGGGGTGCCTTTCCCCAAGAGACGCCCACGCAGTGCTCCAGGAGGCCAGGGCCAGCTGCTGCGGGTCAGGAGGACCGCCAGGCTGGGGAGGGGGGCTGGTCAGCACTGGTCAGAAGCAGGGGCCGCCTGGGAAGGGCTCAGCCAGCCCTGGAGGGAGGTGAGGCGCCCAGAGGACAGCCTGCCCAGCTTCCAGGAGCCCCCTCAGTGGACTGGCCCCTCCACGCTGGCCAGGCCCGTGTCAGAGACCACAGGGGCCCTGCGCTGGGCCAGGCCTCAGCGCTCCAGCAGGCCCACACGCATGTGCACACAGGTAGGCACGCACACGCATGTGCACACATGGCAAAACAAATGTGCGTACATTCCCGTAATGGCCGCGGGAAAACCTCCCTGACAGCTCGTAAAGAAAGTTATATTTCATTGCCATGATGTCAGCCGAGAGCAGTTTGTTTCCAGAGACGGCCCATCCAGAATGGTGACGGTTTTCCCGTCCAAGCGACGTGGTCCGCTGCGGGGGGGCCTGGCCCACGTGGCTCCCCGGGGGCCTCCCCGGAGGGTTCGTGCAGGGTGGCCTTGGACCTGCCCCGTGAGGAGCCCCCACTGACACAGAGCTCCAGGGCGGGAGGGGTGCCGGGGGTCCAGGCCGGTCCCCTCCTCCGGGGCTCTGAGGCCACCATCCGGTGGGGTCTATACTCCGATGTCTTCCTCACCCGTCCCCGCTCTTCTCTGCCCCTGCAGTGTGTGTGTTGGGGTGACAAGGGCTGGGCCACATCCTGAAGCCTCCCTGCTGTGGAGGACCTGCATGGACTCCTCTCGGAGGCAAAGGAACCCCAGTGGGAGCCAGGGTCTCTCTGCGCCTGCCCCCTGTAGCCTTGCCCTCCCCGCGGACGCACCCAGACGGCCCCGTGGAAGTAGCTTCTGGATCGAGACACAGATTCCAGTTTCCAGGGAGCACAAAGCTCCTGACCACAAACACTGGAGCCCGGGCAGGAGAGTGGAGGCTCGGGGCCATTTCTGGCTGCATTTAAAGAAATTTTGCCTGAAATGTGAAAACGTACCCACAGCAGAAAGCTCTCCTGGCTCCTGCAAGGGGTGCAGCCATCAGAACAAGCTTAAACCGACAGTCACAACTCTCCACAGGCCTTGTCTCCCAACAGAGCTGGGGGACTGCCCCCCCCGCCGTGGGGGACCCCACCCCCCTGTAGACACCTGTCCCCTGCTGTGGGCCCTGCCCCATCGTGGTCATTACTTGGTGGTCCCAGACACTCTTCAGACACCCCTGCAGGCGTGGGAGAACTGGCAGGGGCCTGGCTGCTCTCCCAGGAGTTTGGGGACAGCCAGAGTAGGATGGACGTGGCCTCAGTGGCCAGGGGCTAAGGGAAGTGGGGGCCGGCCATGTGCGGGAGGTCCTGATGGAGGGCCCCTCGGGCCGGGAAGAAGCCTAGATGACCAGGTGCATTGTCACCCGCCCACAACAGCAAGCAGGGGACTCGATTGGTGTCCAAGCTCCATGGGAGCTCCGTGGGCTGGCTGCACTCTGCCGGGCGCCTAGGAAGACGGCCCAGCTCTGAGGGGATGCACAGAGAAGAATCAGCAGGAAGCCCTTGGTCTGGCCCTTCTCATCATGCATCCTTCATCCTTTCCTTTTCTTCTGAGCCATGCAGAGCTCCCCACTCTGCACAACAGGAGAGCTGGCTTTGCGGTCCTCGAGTTGCAGAGAACGGACAGAACCACAGACCTAAAGGTTGAAATGTCAAAAGACCACTTAGCTTCAGACCAGTATTGTTGGAAAGGGGACGTAATCTCCGTCCAAGGGAGCAAGCCTCACTGTCCCAGGCGGGGGTTCCAGGGACGCTGTGTGGAATGTGCATTTTGCAAAGTGGGCTCCTCGTGTCTGATGCCTGGATGCTCCCTGCCCACCCATCCTTCCCACCCACTCCGGCAAATGCAGGGGGTGGTGCTGTGGGTCACCTGTTCCTGCTCCTCTCCCCTCGCTGGGGCTCATCCCAGGTGTCCCAGGCTGCACAGTTCAAGCCGCGCCTGATCAGTGCCCCCTGACTCATGGCCATTGCCCTGTGCGGGCAGGTCCCTCAGCTCCCAGGGCAGGCTGCAGGAGAGGACACAAAGGGCCTTTCCTAAGAGCATCCCAGAGCCCCTGATGGCCCTTGACCAGCAGCAGCAGACTGCCATCTGCTTGGTGAGGCCTCTCTCCCGATCTCCTCCGTGCTCGGCCCTGGGAGCCGGGCCAGGAGCCCCCGGGATGAAGGACGCAGCTTTCTCTCGCACGCACGCTGGCCTCCGGGAGCCGAGGGGTGTTGATCCAATAGGATCTCAGCCACAATTAGCCGGTTCCGTCATTCTAGCCCTATAAATATTCATTCTGAGATTGTTATAAAGGTGCTTTTTTTTAAAAAAAAAAATGCCAAACTCATTTGGAGTAAGGAACTGGACAGCTGCCAAAGCTCAGGCTGCTGAGCGGAATCCCACCGTGGAGTGGATGAAAGCGTCACCACCAGGACGGCTCCTCTCAGGGACCCACGCAGGTGCTCGCGGGGGTCTTGTTTAATTTGGCATGGGTTTTCTGGTTCCCTGCATGTAACATTTATAAATGTCAGAGCATGGTGGGGAAACGCCGTGCCGAAGGGGCCAGGGTCCTCTAAGAGGGTGGCCGGGCCCCCATAGCCATGGGGAAGGTGTGCCAGCCACCCATGGGGATGCCACACACAGTTCCTGCCCCTACTGGGATGCCGCTCTGCAGCCTGACCTCCCCGCAGCCTTGCTCCCACACCCCCAGGGGGCCTGAGCTCCACGGGCTTTGCCATGTTGTAACAGTGCTGATCTTGAGGGGATCCGCCAGCCCCGATGAGCATAAGGAGGCTCCCCTGGCCATCAATGCTGGAAGGAGGCGCCAGGATTAGATCTGGGACTCGCTGGAGGTCATATGCTCTGGCCTTCTGTGCTGGTAGCTGGATGCTTCCCTTAAATGCTTGTGATGGCCGAGTGCTCACTGCCCCAGAAGCGCCTTCCCCTCCTCAAAGAGAGGTGATGGCAGTGGCCACACAGCAACACAGTGATGGCGATGGCAATGGTGATGATGAAGGTGTTGGTCATGATGATGATGGTGGTGTGATGATGATGGTGGTGATGATGATGGTGGTGATGGTGATGGTGGTGGAGGTGATGGTGGTGATGATGGTGATGGTGGTGATGATGATGATGCTGATGATGATGATGCTGATGATGGTGGTGGTGATGGTGATGATGATGATGGTGGTGGTGATGAGGATGGTGGTGATGGTGATGATGGTGGTGATGGTGATGATGGTGATGGTGATGATGGTGGTGATAATGATGATGGTGATAATGGTGATGATGATGGTGGTGATGATGGTGGTGGTGGTGATGGTGATGGTGGTAGAGGTGATGGTGGTGATGATGGTGATGGTGGTGATGATGATGCTGATGATGATGATGCTGATGATGGTGCTGGTGCTGGTGATGGTGGTAGTGATGGTGACGGTGATGGTGATGATGATGATGGTGGTGATGAGGATGGTGGTGATGATGGTGTTGATGATGATGCTGATGATGGTGGTGATGGTGGTGACGGTGATGATGATGGCGATGATGATGGTGACGATGATGGTGGTGGTGATGATGGTGATGATGATGATGGTAGTGATGGTGATGGTGATGGTAAGTGTGTGCTGGGCCTTTGCTTTCCTGCTGAGAGGCTGCCCCTCACCTACCCCCTCCAGGCCCAGCTCCCACCTCTGCTTCTTCTTAACTTTGGAGAGGGCAGTGGGCACCTCCTGGCCCCACGGGCAGGTCTTGTTGGGAGGTGAGGACCCCGCTGTTCCTTCACAATCTAACCCTCCATGCCTCTGGGGGCAGGTGGCCCAGAGCCCAGCCTAGGGTAACCCCTCATACCTTCCATGGTCAGGGCTCCCCTGCCAGGTCCTCCAGGAGAGGACCTGGCAAATGTGGATATGTTGACCACACCATGGGCCCAGCCATGTCTGGCCCAGGCTTCCATCAGTGGAATCCTCCCTCCCTTCCCCTAGGGTCCCCCCAACTTGCCTCTGTCCTGAGTTTCTAAGTAGCCAGCAACAGAAGCCCCAAGCCTGGGGGTGGCCACACTCTGGAATCCCTGGAGGACGTTTGCCTTCCTGACAACACAGATTTTCCTGAGAGGGGGTTTGTGGACATTGAGAACTAGCCTGCCCTGAAGGGAGCTGTCCCATTTAACAAATGGATCTCTGCTCAGTCCTGATGGATGGCTTTGCCTGATCATAAAACTCCAGAGGAAGTCAAATTCGGGTTCTCAAAACCTTGGAGATATTCCTTGAATTTATTATGTGACCTGATAAATTATTGAATCTGAGTGTTCAAGTATCTTTAAGAGGCAGAGCAGGCCTGAGACATTGTATGCCCCCAGATCCAGGGGGCTTGCCAGCCCTGGGCTAAGGTTCCTGCCGGAAAGTTCCTCCGCTAACTTGGGCTGACAATCCAGCATCCCAGGGAACCTCTTCTGGAGTCAGAGGGCAGCAAAGCCGGAGAGGTCCCCTAGGGTGGCCTCTGGGGACCTTCCATACCCACCACTGCAGGGTCCTGGGCATTTCCCTGGCCAGCCCTCCCTCCTGGGGAACGCAGGGCTCAGAGTCCTCTACTTCCTTTGCACCAAACTTGTGGGAAGCAGATCCCCTGCCCCCTCAAGTACACACTCTATCATCCCCTCTCCTTGAACAAAATAGGGCTAGCAAAGGTGCTGGGAAATCACTCCTACATCAGGGCACTGATCAATCAACAGCAAGTTAATCAATAGGAGTAATCTGCTGGGTGGGCCTGGCCTCATCAGGTGAGACCTTTAAAAGGGAAAGCAC